AGAGAGAGAGAGAGAGAGAGAGAGAGAGAGAGAGAGAGAGAGAGAGAAGGAAACAGGAAGCCAGACAAGGGTGTTTCATTCTCTGGAACTGTAGTTATAGACAGCATGAGTGCTGGGAACAAACTCAGATCCTCTGCAAGAGGAGCAAGTGCTTTTAGGGGTTAAGTCGTCTGTCAAGTACCTAGAGATCATTTCTTGCGGAATAATCAGTTAATGACACAATTAGTACATGTTCAGAATGCTATTACTTTATAACTTTAGAAAATTAAAGCATGATTATGGTTTAAAGCAACTGCCAAATATATTTATATTAAAATTAACTATTTTTACTAAATGACTTTAATTTTCAGAGATTACTTTGCATTAATCCACCCCTGTTTGAAATTCATCAAGTCTTGTTAAGTCCAACACAACACCATGTAGCACTTATAGGAACGAAAGGACTTATGGCATTAGAATTACCTCAGAGATGGGGGAAGGATTCTGAATTTGAAGGTGGAAAAGCAACTGTGAACTGTAGGTAAGTAGTACTTTCATTTAGTGTTTATCTGTGTAAGACCAGAAATTGTATTAGGTGAAATTGTATTAGGTGCTATGATTGAAACATTCGAGCATTCGTGTGGTCTTGCACACGGGCTTCTTGTGGTACTATTGTTGTCCATTCTGTTTTGAAATGTGTATGAGTGTTTTGCCTTCATTTAGTAAGAGCAATGCTTATGTGCCTGGATGGCAAGAAGGATCCAGTCCCCTTGAACTGGAGTTTGAGGTGGCTGTGAGCTGCCGTGAGGGTGCTAGGAGCCAATTCTGGGTCCTCTGCAAAAGCAGCAGGTGCTCTAAACCGCTGAGCCACCTTCCCAACCCCTGCTGTTATTATTTTAGAATACTGTGTTAATATTTTTAATTAAGAGAAACAATATCAGTCTCTTAGTTTTACAAAAATAGCTGCAAGTTTGTAGTTAGGTTCACGAGCTTAAGAACTATGAAAAAAATGAACCAAAACATGTGGATTAACACCTGCCTTCCAAGACACCATTTATATATGTCAGGCCATTTTCTGGTCATTGCAGTTTGTTCTATGATGTCATAAATGTACCATGAACTACTCATGCCCTAAAGGGTTTAGATAGCATTTGGACAGACTGCCAGGTATTCAGCAGCAGAAAGAAGACAAATATCTACATCAAGGCTTGTGCTACTTCAAAGTTTAAAAAAAAAAAAAAATTTGTGGGTCTTAATACTCAGTGTAACAAAGTATGCCAGTAACAACCCTTCCCTGCTTCCTCCAGCACTGGAGCCTGCTTGGTAGTACTCAGATCACTGTTTCTTAATTATCAGAATACTCATCATAGTATCTGCCCTTATAGTTTCCTTACTTCATTAATTAGTAAAAGGACCAAACAAAAGGCAATATCAAAACACATCTGTAACTGTGTAAACTGGGTGTGGTAATACACAAATGTAGTCCCAGCCCTCAGGATGCTGAGCTAGAAGGATTGCTGTGAGTTCAAGGCCAGCCTGGGCTACATTGTGAAGGCCGGACCTCAGCTAGGTTGTATACGAAGATACTGTCTGAAACAGCAAAACGAAAATGTATAAAATATATCGCTATAGTGTAGAAAATATTTGCACTTTGATTCCTTGAATAGGTTCTTAGAATGCTCTCAGAATGTCTTAAAGAAGGAAAGAACAGTGTTAAAATAAGTTAGAATGTGTTTCATCCAAATTCTGCAAACAAATGTTCTTGAAAATTGTCTTTATTTTAGTACCACCCCGATTGCTGAGAGATTTTTCAGCAGTTGTACCTCTCTGACTCTGAAGCATGCTGCGTGGTACCCA